TTGCATCACACTGAGAAAATCTACTGCACGGCCCTGGTTAAAATAGTGTAAATTTGTAAAAATATTTGCAAGAACTTTCATCGAACTTTATTTCATCGTAATTTCACAATTTCTACGAAATTTCCGGACAAAATTAATAGTTCACCCGGACAGTCCAGGTGAAAACCCTACTTTCTATGGCAATTTCCAACCGTTCAGCGAATTTATAACTGCTTTTATGTTATTGTCATTCTCCAATTTAGACGCCATTTTTCCAGGAAGTCGTAATCGGAAAAATCGGATATCAGCTTTATTTCTGTTGCAATTTTTTCGCAGTAATTACGACTTAGGTCTAAAGTCACTTTGGAAATCTTTTGTGCACACAAATTTAAAAAATTCTCTCTGGCATGGTGTTTTCATGTAAATACAGTATTTACTTAAATGAGAGTGCATCTACAGGAGAGAGTATCTACAAAATCTATACATGTATAAACAAGCACTCATCACATAAACATTACGAACACTTTACATAATTTTTAATGAATTTTTTAGTAATTTAAAATATTTCCTTTTATTTGGCTTCTAAATCCATTATTGATTACTAATTAATAAACCGAACAATTGAAATTTCATAAAATTAATAATATAGTATAATCTAATAATTAGAAAATTTTATAATAATAATAAAATTATCTTTTTGTTTTAGTTTGAAAACATTTAATATTTTCAAAGTAAAACATTCGAATTACTGTTCTAACGACATTTTCGAGTTCGATTCGTTGTTTTGAATTCAAAGCCACAGATCAAAAAGAAACTACGAATGGAATTTGTGATTAAAAGACCCAAAAGAAGAATCGATGAAGGTAAAAAACAACATTTGAAACGTTCATTTATTATAGTAATATATTTCCATTCTCTCTCATACGAAGGCCTCTCTAAAATCTTCCGTTCTCGTTCTCTTGCCTTATTCTTCCATCCCTTTCCTGCAAATTCTCTAATTTTAATAAATATTTTGAATTGTAATATATTTATAAACAAATATTTTTCGTTATTCCACTAGCTGACGATAAACACGACTTCATTGGAAAGATTTCAAATCTCGAGACACTTCCGAAGACGCAAAGTAATAACGTTAACTCATTGAAGAACGACCGGTCACGAGTTATTGTCCTTATCTACCGATATCAGATGTAGAAACGTCGAGACAGACAAAGTAGCTGCAAGATCGAAGGATGTTAATTTTCAGGACATTTTCCCACCGACACCGGGATTCGGGTACTCTGGCAAGAGGATAAAAATCATAAGTAACATCTTCGAAATGAAAATAGACCAGAGTTACGTTTATCATTATGACGTAGATATTATCCCTGTGTAAAGATATAAGGAACAGTCTGTAATTTGTAAAAGATACAACTATCTCAACACCAGAGAAAACAGAAAAGTCGTCAACAATTTTTTGTCAACTTTTCAATTATATCGAGACGGAAAAACAATTTATTCAGTTGCAATCTAATGTCCATCGAAGAACGGAGGACGTTCTTCTTACCACTTAACTCAAGTTATTAATAAAAGGAAAATATTGCCGCTTTGCGAAACTTTTACATTTTGTATCAATTCATTCTCGATAAAACATACTCTATGCAGGGCCCGCTCTAGAGGTGGGCAACCCGGACATTTGTCCGGGGCGCTATTTTGGCTGTAAATGTGAGAAAAATATTGATGTGTTAAATACTCAATTAATAGAAAATTTCACGTATCGATTTTTTCGTTCTCTAAAAATTTACAGCGCGTAGCGTATTTATATTGTTTGTCTAAAAGCTAAAAATATTTACACTATTATTGAAAAATTAACGCAGAATTTGTAAAGGACGATGCTCGAACTTGTTTGAACATGCACAGACTCGCTTATACTTACTTACCTCTAATTATAAAAAAGCGGTTTCATTACACAATAGCATTATTCTTGCTATTCCGTCGGTAGTGATAACAAGTGGAAGTTCATAAAATTTACTTAAGTGCAATTTCTTAATTTTTAAAGATAAGTACATCAATAATTAACGGCAAACACAGAATCATCTGTCATTACATTCTGTGTAATTTATTATATGTAAAAAATGGAACAACAAAATGGTATAAAGAACCAATGTTCATAGTACAAATGACTGTAGTATAACATTACCGCGTATTGAGTTTTTTTCTATTGATTTGTTGTAAAATATAATGTTTAGGTGCTTACATTTTAAAAGTATAACGTAGTTTGATGTTAATAAACCTCTTCTTAATTCTTCCCTATTATCTGACATTTTTGCTTATCCGATTTTTTGCCTGCCAGTTTATGTCGGGTAATCAAGACTCTACTGTATATGTGAAGTCATATTAAAAAAAAAAAACCTATATTTTACGAAAATTAGAAAAAAAACAATCTTGAAACCAAGAGGTCAAAAAACCCAGATCTGGGTTTTAAAACCAAGAAGTGGTAACCCTGGCATGCACGTTATTCTTCGCATTGTAAAATGACATTGCGCATGCGTCTGGAACTTCTGTTCGAACAAACCTGACTTCCCGTCCGGGTCAGCGATTTTGAAAAGGTGGCAACACTAATTTCGAAAAATCTCTTCTTAGTGTACATTCTTATGACGTATCTTAACTGTGTACCAAATTTCAACTTTCAACTCCGAACCATTTAAACTCTGAGCTCATCGTTATTATTATTAACGCCAACATACGCGCACGCGCGCGCGAATTTTTCCCTTTACTGTACTTGACATTTTTTGGGTTCGAGAGATCTCCAAACGTATAGATTTGCAAAAAACTCGGAGGGTCAAATGTGACACGATTCAAATACTGTTTTGTTTTTTATATACATAACAAGTTGGGAAAGTAAAACGGAGTTAGAGTCGTCCGACTCCGACTCCTCCAGCCCTCAATTAATCAGAAGTATGACTGAAGTAAAGAATTTTGTCTGGAATAGTGGTTCTTAACCTTTTAGTAATGAGGGACCATTTATCAAAATTTTTGTCTTGCCATGGACCACGAGCTGTTTCGCAGTAATATAGGTTCTTATAAGGTTGTTCTATAAATTAAACACGTAGAAAATTATTCGGAACCAAGAGTATTATATTATTTCCGAAAGTGTTACATTAATTATATTATTTTAGTGCGATTTTTGTAACTGCATACTGTTTACCAACTGCTGAATTCTTGGTTCAGTGCTACTCGAAGCAAACGCATCCAACCGATTTCAATGTTTATTTTTAATTATCAAAAGCACTGAGAATCCTTGCTCGCATAAATGTGTGGTTGAAAATAAAGTTAGGTACTGTAAAGCAATTTCTCGAATTTTAGGGAAAGCAATAGCTTTTTGGCTCCAAAGATCTTTAAGATTAATTCCTGTCTCGAATGTATCCTTGCAGTTACTATCATGTTGCATTTTAATTAACTACAGTACTCTTGCATTTCATCCAGCACCTCAGAAATGTTGACTATGAAAGGATTGCAAATCAGTTTCCGAATACCTTTGTCCTTGCAGTCAGGAAAATAGTGATTAAATTCATTTTTCAAGCTTTGCAAATGGAATGTAATGTTCTTTTGTATTTCTCCTTTAATCTCGGCACACTGTCAATCAATAATTGGGTTCAATGTATCAAACGCAGAAAAATTCTCTCTTTCGACTTTGCTGATCCATAGGTCAATTTTAACGATAAACGCACTGATTTTATCTTCAAATTCAAATTTATTGCTAGCGCCTTCCAATTTCATATTTCCTGACCACATACCATACCACAGCCCAGTCCGCTATCGGCTCTAACCTTGACATATCGCGCATTGTCATCAACTCGTCATCATTTATTTAATAATTTTGGGATAACTTCACGGACCACTTCGGGTGCTTTCAGGGACCACCAGTGGTCCATGGACCACAGGTTAAGAACCACGGGTCTGGAAGGTAAGCGGTTAATAATGGATACGTTCGTAAAGTCAAACGAGTTAAACGCGTTAGTAACGAATCATTCGAAAAGTCTAACGAAATAGGAATAACGATGACGTCATTCTAGTTTAACTCGTTCGACTTTACGAACATACCCAATGTTAACTTTACATTCCAAAGATAAAGTTTTTCTTTTCTTGTTTGATGCAAAAGAATTAGTTCTACTTCGTTTGGATGACATAGTAAAGTCTCTCAAGTCTCCGTAGATATAACAAACACAGAAATAAATAACACAAAATAAATTGTAGCTATGTGTCGATTCCGCGCGACACATCCGAACATGTAAGCTGAACAATAGTGTGGGGGGAGTAATCAAGGGTTGCGTGGCGCTCAAACAAAAGACGAATCGACGAGATTTGAAAATCGCGTAACTCCGGGGTAGCGTAAGTCGAGGTATTACTGTATTGCTATTCGCTTGTATTCCGAAGGAAAGAGACAGGAGATAAGATCGCAAAGTGATGGAAGAACTGCCTTATAGAAGACGCCGGAAAGTACACGAAGGGAGATAGAATGCCTTCCGGGAGGACTTTTATGGAAAGCTGGCCCCTATTTAGGCGTCATCTGCAAGGAGAAAAATCAGAAAACTCCAAGCTACCAGCCTGTCCGATCGAGGCGCGAACTCACAATCGAACTTCCCAGTGTCTGGTCACTATGAGCTGAGCGGAGAAGGACTCCACTCGGCCTGGTGGGCCTGGCCAGCATATCCGGTCAGACTAGCCCCTAAAAATTCTTGCGGATTTTTCGACCCGTCCGGATTCGATCCTGGGTCACCCAGAGCGGTAGGCTCTGGTTGATCGATCTTGACCGGCCGAGGATACTGGGGTAGCGAATATAAGACACTACCTAGCGTACACAATTATAATCATTCACACACCCGTCTTAAATAAACAAGGAGAGAATAAGAAAGAAGACAAGGTTAAAATATATTAAAAAAGAAAGAGAAATAAAGATATGGTCAAGTTGCATCGGAAGAGTTGAGGATAATAGATGAAGAAAGGATAAAGGAATGAATGCTAAGAGAATGGAAGAGACAGGGAGAACGGGAAGATATGATGAAATGTAAGAAAACTCAGGATATTATATATAAAGATGATAGTAGAAAGGTAACGTTGGAATTACAGATGATGACGATTTTGCAGGCCCTAGTGCATGATAGCATCCATGACCACGACGGCCTCTGAAGTTCCTGAGACTTTTTCCACGAAGAGGTTCTATAGTCTATTTATCCTAACTTGGCAGCTACTGTAAACAAAGATTCTGTCGTATTAATCCGCCGAAGATTTTCATTGGTCAAATCACAATCGGAAGTGGCTCGACACGTGTTGACCAGTTAAGCCCCTTTCTCTGCACGTGTTAAAGTAGGTCAAAGTTGTCACAACAATTTAAAAATTACCGAGATAATACAATACTTAGAAAAGTTATTATAGCTTACTTTAACATTTTTACGTAGCCGTTTAAATTATTTCCATCGTTTAAATATAGTTTGTCAAAAATTATTATTAAATATATATTATTAAGACTTACAGAAAACATGTATGAATTTATCTATGTTATATTTATATAAATAAAAATTTTTTAAAATAATTATAGTGTAAACTTACCTTATTAATCATCTGTATCAGAACATAGTTGCTCAAAGTAATCATTTATATCGCTTTCGTCACTACTTGTGTTAGACTGAATAATCAGTTTTTCTACAACAGTTTCTGAAATCTCATCAAGTTCCCACATTCGTTGTTCTTCTTTTTCTATATGTTCAATACATTTTCTCCATCGTTCTTCATTTATTTGTTCGATAGCTTCATTCATTAAAATTCGCACATCCGACAGTTTGAATGTTGTGTTGTGACGTGCGATGTAACCTTTCATATCTGCCCATATCAATTCAATAGGATTTAAATTACAATGATACGGAGGTAAACGTAACACGTCGATACCTATTTCTTTGGCCATTTCGTCAATAATATATTTATCGTATTTATGTTTTATTTTTTTAACAATATCCAAAAGTTCTATTTTCAACATTTTGTCGTTATGACGAACCCTATTTTTTTCCAACCAAGAAATTATGTCAGCTTTTTTCCAACTACAATTTGGAATCTTCTCAATTTTAGCTGAGTGATATGGAGCATTGTCCATGACAACAACAGCATTACTTTCTAATTTTGATAATATTTTTTCAAACCATTTTTTGAAATTATTGCTATCCATTTCTTCATGGTAATCTTTTGTCGACTTTGATTCAAATTCATACAGACCACCATTCAGAAAACCTGTATTGCTGCCTATATGAACAACAACTATTCGTTTCCCCTTTCCAGAAGGATTTTTCAATCCAGTAGATCGTCCAGACATAAAAGCTTCGCGATAAGACGTAATTGAACAATCCTTCCATACTTTATTCTTGGTATGGCCCGCATTAATCCATGTTTCGTCCAAATAGTAAATTTTACGGCCTAAAGAACGCATTTCTCTTATTTTTCGTAGATATTGTCTTCGCCATAAAATGATATCGTCTCTTTCAATTAATCTACTATTTCTGTTTCGGTTCGTATATTTAAAATTAAGTAATTTTAACAAATTATATATCGTAGATCGAGTAAAGTCTGGTAAATCTGGATCGTCATTAACAGCCTGTAATACCTTATCTACAGTAGGTAATTCGTTTAAAAAATAAAAATTGTGTACTTTACCTCTAATGGCACATTTTGTGAATTCGTCATATTTGTCAACGAGTTGAGTACGCTTACGGGTTTTCGAAGGAGTTATTACTTTACCATTAGTAAAATATTCTTTACGAATTCTGTAAATGCTCCGTTCTGATATCCCTGTTGTCTGTGCTACCATTTTCACTAAATCCTTCACGCAGACTTCTGGATTCGTTTCAGTTAAAGAATTAAACAAATTTAATACTATTTGTTTATCCGAGCTCCTCAGCGATTTTCCTTGCCGATGTTTAATCGTATTTACATTCAAGTTTTCCATTTTTGTAATTCAACAACACAATTTGAAATAACGGTAGTTATTGCAATGAATGGAAAAAGAAACAAAAACATTATAGTGCGCATGACCGGAAAAAGTTTATTTCTAATGATTCAGAATGTGCAAATATTTATTAAAATAACAACTTAACAAATATGAAATAATAACATTTATAATCATTGCTAAGTGAATAGCATTTCATTAATGATTTTATAAATAACGAAGAACTATTTTCTGCGGACGAATGAGATGCAATACGATTTTTAATTGATGGACATGGGTTTAAACCAATAAACAAAGGGAGGTGTGTCTTAGTTTGTTTACAATAGCTGCCAAGTTAGGATAAATAGACTTTTTTTTATAGATCGATCCTCGGAAGAGCTACTGCATTTTATCGTTACAAACTGGTTTTGAAATCAATTTTTAAAATTAAAATAATATTTAATTATTTATTACAAATATAAAGAAATTCATTATATTTTAAAATTACAAATCTTGTTTAATACTTTAATATATTATCTAAATATATAAAACTATCTGTTACCCGCGGCTTTGCCCGCGCGGATTTTTCAAGCAAACCCCATTTATATTCAGTATTTCAATAACCATAGTAATTATTATATAACACCTACCGCTGAAGAGAATTGCCGAGAATCAAACGAACTATTTTCAATTTGATCAATTTTCTGGAACGTTTACAATCGTTCTATAATCGAAACAATATGCAATAACAAATTCGAATTAAAAAAGATTCGAACATTTTAAAAATCGAAATAGATAAAAATATTTATAACAATGTCTGAAATGTTATTAATTTAATACACCTAAGTACTCGATGAAGACTAAATCCTCTCCCTCTCCCGCCCGCGGGGGGAATTTCGAAAAATCCCTTATTAATGTGCGTTTCCAAGACCTACCCTAACTGTCTACCAAATTTCACCTCTAGATTAAGCAGTCTGCTCTGGGCGATGATGAATCAGTGAGTGAGTGAGTCATTCAGTTAGTCAGTCAGTCAGTCAGGACAAGCAATTTTATATACAGTATTTAGATTACTTGTCCTGACTGACTGAGTCACTGATTCATCATCGCCCAGAGCAAACCACTGAATATAAGGAGGTGAAATTTAGTGCACAGTTAGGGTACGTCATGGAAACGCACACTAAGAAGGGATTTTTCGAAATTCGCCCCGCCAGGGGAGAGGGAGAGGAAGAGGATTAAGGTTTAACCTGAAGAACGGCTTTTACTGTACTATTTTAGATGCAAATTTTTGTTTTTAACTACGTTTTGGTAGGGTACGCCGTGAAAACGCACACTAAGAAGGGATTTTTGGAAATTCGCCCCGCGGGGGGAGAGGGAGAGGAAGAGGATTAAGGTTTAACCTGAAGAACGGCTTCTACTGTACTATTTTAAATGAGATCTTTTTGTTTTCAACAACGTTTAGTCTTCATTAATTACTTAGGTGTATTAAATTGATAACATTTCAGACATTGTTATAAATATTTTCGTATATTTCGATTTTTTAACCAAATGTTCGAACCGTTTAAAATTCGAATTTGTTAAATTGTTATTACATATTGGTTCAATTATAGAACGATTGTAAACGTTCCAGAAAATTGATCAAATTGAAAACAGTTTGTTTGATTTTCAGGAATTCTCACCATTCTCAGTGGTAGGTGTTATATAAAAATTACTATGGTTGTTGAAATACTGAATATACTGTAAATGGAATTTGCTTGCAAAACCACCACGGGCGAAGTCGAGGGTAACAGCCAGAGCCGGCCCTACCATAGGGCGAACGGAGCAGCCGTTCCAGGCGCTAAGTCTTAGGGGTCTCCTCAGTGGTAAAGAAAATTAAAGGGTATAAATTAGGGGCAACCAAGAGGGGCACCATAATAGGATCTCGCTCCATCCTAAATCTTGCCTCGGGCCGGCACTGGTAACAGCTAGTGTTATCTATATCTATATATATATAAATGGAAGTGTGTGTCCCTATATTTCACTTTTCCGCCAAAACTACACATTGCACGTGAATGGTGTTTGTATGTGGTGGTAGCCCCAAGTCTCCGTTCGTGCACTATGGGGGTTGCGTCTCGACAGCTATAAGGGTGCGGGAGATATGAGGCTGAAAGTGGTTGAAAGTGGCTTCCTATTTCGAATGTTTTGTTCGAATTTAATTCGAACAATGTTCGAATTTGTTTGAATTAAATTCTAACATAAAATTCGAATATTGGTTCGATTATAGAACGATTGTAAACGTTCCAGAAACGTTGAAAATAGTTCCTTTGACTAAACGTAAAAATTCTCTAATTAGTCTGGAAACGGGGGACCTAATTCTTGCATTCTGTGAAAACGGGTATGATTGGCTATAATGTAATTATCTTAATCTTCACTATCGTTACTTTATGCCCACAAATAAAAACCCAGCGAAGCGGCTCCTTGCAGCTAGTATAAAATATAATTTTATCTTATTAGCAAATTTATAACACCAGAGGGCGCATAATATGGAGATGAGAGCATACCGTTGAAACTAGTGAATAGGACAATAGGGTTTTTACCTGTTTTCATTTTTTTTAAATTTTTTTTTAGTACTTAACAGTATTAAATAAATTAAATATAAACGAATGGCTGTTTAACCAAGCACTTACTCTCAAGAAAACTTATTAAAAGTGAGTATGAGAAATGTTAACTGATGAATGTGTGAAAGTCAAAGTTTTCTGTTTATTTTTGCAGTAATTATTGTTAAATGCGCTCTCTGAACATAATTTTTTCTATATTAATTGCACAATGCATAGCTCTAAACGTTGCACAATTTGTCGTAGGATATTTGAGCCACTTTTTACTAAAATTCTAATTCAGAATATAATAATAATTTAGTTTGAAAAAATATTAAAAAAATCAATTTTCTTTCTCAATATTTCAAATTGAATTAATTTATTATTATTATTATTAACCTTGTAATATAAATAATAATATAATTTATGGTATACCTAATTTATAATTACTATTAATATTTACATTTTAAATAAATATAATGTATGTCTTGTGCAATTTGAACTAATACTCTTTAATATGACAAATACATCCTTTGAACTGAATTAAATTGATCAATAATGTATCATTAGGCCTGTAATGGTAATTATATGCAGATTTTGGAAGAGATTAAATTAATTAGAAGTTGAACATTTATTACATTAAATTATGAAGCAAAAATAATTAGTTGAAATCATAGATGCCAAATGAATTTACTTTTAGCATGTTTATAATGGAATCAGAATCAAATGTTTTGACTTTGTTTATTGTTAAATATGTTTAGTTTTGAAAGAAAATGAATGGTGCTTTTCAGTTAAGAGGTGATGGTCAATAAATGTGGTATGGTGTAAAGAAATGGCTATTTTATTATGTTAAAGAACATTTCAATAGAAATAAACTTTGATAGAAATGTATACGTGATGTCAAACATCATAACGAAAAAACATGCAAAAAGATTACAAACGTAGCTTCTAGCCCTTGATATAGTTATATAGAATAATTTGTCTAAATCCCAATTGTTGGAACATGAACCCTCATTCATTAAAAGATGAAATTGATAGACTCAATACTGATATCTGGTATATTAAGCGGAGATGGAATGAAGGATGGCCTTTAAAGACACTACAGCTACCTCCCAGCATTAAAAACAATATACATTCATTCATTATTTTTATTTGTACAAACAAACTACAGACCGGCCCCGCTTTCGTGCATTACCGGTTATACACGTTTAGTTTACAGTACTCAAGAGAAATGTTTTACACTTACACAAATGATAGATATTAAATATACATACATACAAATAAATACATAAAGAAAAAATATGAATAAGTCAATAAGTACATAAGTTAATAATAACAATTATTTGATCTAGATACAAACTTAAAACTAACTACTGTATATACAAACTATGTACAATAAGCAAGATTGTAAATAGATATGTTTACCTTAGAAATTAGGCATACAGTTAATTATGATAATGAATACATTTAATACATAGAGTAACATCTTGCAGAATTGGAAGCTGGCAAACATAAATACAATTTTGGTTAATACATCAAAATTTGTAAAATGTTCACAAAATAAAAGTTCTATTTGTGGAATGTTAATTGTCCTTCAAAAGAAATATGTAATGCAAGTGATTAGAAGCTGCAAAGCATCACAAAATAATGTGATGCTTTGCAGCTTCTAATCGCTTGCATTATATAAAACAATATACAGTCGACTCCCCCATAACACTGTTGATTATTCTGTTTTATATGAATTCCATATTGTACGAGTCACTTAGATTTTACAAATACGTGTGCTGGGTTGTGAACGGCTCACGTATTTGTAAAATCTAAGTGACTCATACAACATGGAATTCATATAAAACAAAAATCAACAGTGTTATAGTCGACTGTACAAAAACATGATGTTAAAATAATAGAAGGTATGTTAATCAAGTCATCATCAAATTTAAAAAATACAAAATTAAAAAGCTAGTGAAAAAACTTAAAAAGAACAGCCAAAATACTAATATTTTTACCCCCACTCCTCTCTTTAACCAAAATAGCTATTTTACCAAGAAGTATAATAAACTAGTTCAACATTGTGGTATCCCAACGATGGATCTAATAAATAATTGGAAAAACAAATTGGTTATTAATCTGTCTGATGTACAAATCCCCAATAGAATTAAAGCTTTATTAGCTAAAGGTTTAGATTTTAATTTCCAAACATATTTACCTAAAAGCAAAATTGCCATTGAGTTAGAGTATATTCTCAACAGTTTAGACATTGTCAACCATATTGAAATTAAAAATAAAGTCCAAAATATTAAAAATCACAATCTTAGTAAAAACCATAAAAGATCCTTATGGACACATAATAATAATAATAATAATAATAAAGGTTTAAAAAAATTAATTAAGAATAATAATTTAGTCAACTTACAGGCTGACAAATCTAGGCAGAGTATTGTCATGAACTATCAGGGTTATATTAAGGTAGCCCAGGATCTTTTAGATAACAACTTGTATGAGGAACTGTCCCATGGTCCGACACTTAAAATTAAAAAAGAATTGATTGTTAGTCTAAAAAAACTATTAACTATCAAAATTATTGATAAAGATGATTATAAGTTTATCACTAGTTATGGTCACCGCACCCCCAAGTTTAACATAAGGATCAAAACCCATAAAACACCCATTGCTTATAGACCTCTTGTTGATATTAAATTTTATTGTTTATATAACTTAGAATTATTTGTCAAATCCAAACTAAAATCCCTAGTAATGTCTAAACACTGCATTAAAAGCACTGATGAATTTCTTAATAACCTAAAGGAAGTCAAAATGGAAAACAGGTTTAGAATATTGTCTTTGGACATCAAGAATATGTACACCAGTATCATCCAAGATAGAATTGTTAACTCCCTCAGGTCTATAAATTGTGCAGATTGGCTCATTGATCTTGTCATCCTTATCTTATTGAACAACCATTTCCAATTTAATGGTAAATACTATATTCAAAAATCTGGCATACCTATGGGGTCTATTATTGGCCCTATTTTAGCTGAACTAAGTGTTATCGATATCGATACATCCATTAATAATACAGTAGAGCCTCGATTATCTGACTCAATTGGGGACTGGGGTTGGTCAGATAATTGAAAAGTCGGATATCCGAAAAGTATGAAAAAATCCATTATTAGTGTAGTATATTATTATATCCCATGTAATTAGTATATTAGTATATCGCTATTAACCTACTTTGCGTTGAATTTTCATCGATGTTAAGCCTAACAAAAATTTTTTAAAATAATAATCGTCGCTATTGTATCGTTAAAAATTAGAAAATTAAGCCTCGTTTAAATATTGGCTCCCTTTCATGGTCGAATGAGTGTTGCCAGCTAAAACACGTAAAAATAATATTAAAGTAGCCAAGACATAGCCAAATATTGTAGCGCCTCATCACTAGCGGACATTTGAAATTTGCCGACCAGGACGGTCGGTTAATCGGGGGTCGGATAATCGAGGCTCTACTGTATCCATGGCATCAAATTCTTCAACAGTCGACGATTGTTTTATAATCTACAACCCTGTAATCTTAAACCCTAACGACTTGGTTACAACTGTTAATAGTCTTGATAACAACATTAAATTTGAAGTTGAGGACGAACTTCATAACAATTTACCATTCCTGGATGTTTTATTTACTAGACATTCTAATACCCTTGAAATAGAAAATTACAAAAAATCTAGTAAAGTTAATAGTCACGGACTACCACTCACATACTCCCCTGTTCATAAAAAGAAACATTTTTGTCAATTTTATCAAAAAGATATCCAATAGAACTACCTCCGATTACAAAAAGAATATTGAGATCATGGACATCGTTCAGACCTTCTTACTAAATAATTACCCAAAAGTACTCCTAGACAAATGACTAAAACAATTTAAGTGTAATAATAACAACAATGCCCATATCGTTAATCCCGTTAAGAACAATGATACTAAAAAGTTCTTTAAACTTACATATGTCAAAAATATGTTTGAGAAAATTAAAATGGTCTTAAACAGTACCAACATCAATTTAGTCCCTGACCTTTGTAATAGAACCCAAAAATACATACAACCAAACCACCAAAACAATATGGTTAATATCCTTAAAAAATGCAATGTGATATACAGTTTTAACTGAAGATGTAATAACCCTATGACCTTTGTAGGTGAAACAAAAAGATGCGTCAATGTTCGTATAAAAGAACACACAAACGCCATCAAATACAATTCTGAATACTCTGCAGTTGCCAAACACTGCAATCTATATGGTTGTGAAATTGATAAAAGTACAATAAAAACAATAAAATTTGAAACTAACACCTATAAATGTAAGTATTTTGAGCACAGAGATTTTAAAAATTAATAATGTTAATAGAATTAATGATAACTTAGGTGTTAAAATTGACGAAGGATGGTATAATTATATCTTTTAAAAACTAAATATCTTTGTGATGTNAATTTTTTATTGTTTTTATATTTTTCAATAAATTTATTTTGTTTGTACAAAATAAAAAAATAATTTTTAACGATACAATAGTCTTCGTTAGGCTTAACATCAATGAAAATTCAATGCAAAGCGACATGCAACGGAGAGAAATTTCAGCATGGGATAAATTAATATATTTTTTCGTACATGATTCGTTATCCGAAAAATAAGTTATCCGAACCACCCTAGTCCCCAATTGATTCGGATAAACGACGCTCTACTGTACTTCAGATAATACCTACTGATGATGCTTACTACTCATACTGTTACAGTGGTGTCTTCAATTTTTATATTGTATAACTTTAGGCTTACTTTTTAAGTTGATTGTTACCTTGTATAATTCTATTATAGCATTACCTTTAACTAATACCAACTGATGAGGGACTATTTTCTATTGGGAAAATAGTCTGAAATGCATTTTNACAGTGGTGTCTTCAATTTTTATATTGTATAACTTTAGGCTTACTTTTTAAGTTGATTGTTACCTTGTATAATTCTATTATAGCATTACCTTTAACTAATACCAACTGATGAGGGACTATTTTCTATTGGGAAAATAGTCTGAAATGCATTTTGGGTTTTTGTTTTCATACTTATGTAGTA